GGCCTCACGAAATACTTTAATGCACATTAAAATGTAAATGTGAAGGAATGTGTGTATAACAAAATACATCGGTCATTAAACGAAACCGGAAACAGACGTAGGCAAGATCCTCAGCTCGATGATTGGATGGTTATCCGCAATGCATGCTGGGATTTGGTGTTTATGTGAATGTGAAATCTGAAAACGTTTTTAAAAAATACAATAATACTTTATTCCGAGTGTGCTTGCTTTTCTCTTTGAAAGTCATCACATAACGGCTTTGTAATACACGGTTTGGCTGCATTAAATATTACATATCTGCCGTAATTCTCCATTTATAGAGCCGTGCTGAGAAGACTTCTGGACAAACAGGAGAACTGCTGCCAAAACTGAAGATGTGACGTGGATCATAAATATATAAGCAATTAAACAGCATCTTACATTTCTGTTCACACAATACGTCTCCTTGCAGTATCAACACTAATTCGGATGACTTTTATATTTGATCCAATAGGCTGTATTTACACCATAACGGTGCAGAGCTGATAGAAAGGGACACCTGGTGGTCAAAGCACGTTATTGAATTGTATTATTTTATTATTAGATATTAATAGGAGGATGTTTAAAACAGACAAACTAATAAGGCTTACTTTAAACATTAAAGAGTACTTTAGGTTAAGGTCTTATTTTGAATAAGAAAACAGCTTTAAGAAGAATATGGAGGGATGAAACCCTCTTGAAACCGCAGGTCCTTCCTTCCTGCAGCGGTCAGACTTTACAACCAGCACTGCCCCTAGTAGACCCTCCTACACACACCACAACACAGACTATAACACCCCTTGCTGCTAAATACAAACCAACTTTGTGCAATATGTGCTATATGTGCAATATATATATGCCATTAATAACTGTGTAATTTATACCTGGCCACTAAATCAATATATATGCCGTTTTGTTTTTGATCTGTGTTTTTGAAAATTATGTAACTTTTTATCTTTTTTTAGCATATTGTTTATTATATTATAACTTAGTACTTTTTTAGCATATTGTTTATTTTTATTCTAACTTAGTACTTTTTTAACGCATGTAAGATATGCAACACTAAGCTGTCTGTGGCTCTTTCCTGCTGTAACGCTGCACATTTCCCCTCTGTGGAACTAATAAAGGTATTCTGATTCTGATTCTTTAATGGTCACACATGCAGAGCACACAGCACACACAGTGACATTTGTATCTACAGATACATATTAAGCCTGACAAAGTACTTAACGTCTAATATATTGCTTTCCTGCAATGTTAACTATGTTTAAGCACTTATTTGTTTATTATTAAACTGATATTATACATATGTATTATACTCTTATAAGATGTATGTAGATAGTATAAGAAATGTGCAGAATGACAGTTTAATGGTGGAGTATAAACACATATTGATAGATGTCTTGTAATGCACTGTTGAGGAACCTGCGACCCAAGTTTTTCATTCATTGCATAACTACACAGTAATTGTGTATAATATGATATGTCAATAAACCTTAGCTTATAAAATCTTGAAATCTTGAAAGGGATGTTCAAACTAGTCATTATATACAGTCTTTAATGAACTATTAGTAGAGAATAACGAGTAATGAATATACTTTATAGAGATCCTATTAATATCTAATAATAAAATACAATAACGTGCTTTGACCACCAGGTGTCCCTTTCTATCAGCTCTGCACGGTTATGGTTTAAATACAGCCTATCTACCAATTGGATCAAATATAAAAGTCAGCCGAATTAGTGTTGATACTGCAAGGAGACGCATTGTGTGAAAAGAAATGTAAGATGTTGTATAATTGCTTATATATTTATGATCAACGTCACGTATTCAGTTTTGGCAGCAGTACTCCTGTTTGTATATAAGTCTTCTCAGCAGGGCTCTATAAATAGAGAACTACGGCAGATATGTAATATTTAATGCAGCCGAACCGTGTATTACAATGCCGTTATGTGATGACTTTCAAAGAGTAAAGCAAGCACACTAGGAATAAAGTATTATTGTATTTTTAAAAAACGTTTTCAGATTTCACATCACATAAACACCAAATCCCAGCATGCATTACGGATAACCATCCAATCATCGAGCTGAGGATCTTGCCTACGTCTGTTTCCGGTTTCGTTTAATGACCGATGTATTTTGTTATACACACATTCCTTCACATTTACATTTTAATGTGCATTAAAGTATTTCGTGAGGCCTTCTAACATGTTTTTAAATATAACTACGGTTGTAGTTGAATAGTTTGTAAATTAACATGAACCGAAGCTGTTGCTTGGCAACTCAATCGCACAACGTCACGTCCGTTAATTCCACATCCACACGCATGGATTAACATCGATTTAATACATTAATGTAGCCTTTGTTTCTGGCTAAAAGAGGTGTCGACCAGCTGGGGGCAACAAGAAAATCGTTGTAATCGAGTGTGACTATTACAAATAAATCATTACGTCGGGGTAGCATTTGCTTGGTATTTCCGGTTATTTCTCCACTGGTTAACATGGGTTAACAATACCGTGTAGCTGTCACGCTTTTCACGTTTTGAAAAGACGAAACCGTGACATCTTCACGTCTCCCAGCAATGGTAAAGCGTCACATGTTCACGTCTCACCGTGATACCGGGTTGAACAAAACAGCTCCCCTCGACAAATGAAGAAATGCTTGGTTTGCTTCAGTGAGAGATGTTGAGGCGTAGAAATATTAGTGAACGAGGGCTCATATTTTTCAGGAGACCAGCGACGGCTGGGGTTTTGAAATGGTTTTGGTACAGCTACCGGGTGCATATTAAAGCTTGTTGGCTCCACTGGAAGGAAGAGTTTTATTAGCCCGAGGGAGAAATGGAAAATAAAGGGAATGACAGAATGGGAAAGAAAGATGGAGAACAAGCGAGCGATGTTGGCAAACCTCTCTGTTTAACAGGGCTGCCCAGATCCAAACACAGAGTTGGCCAGTGATTGGTCGGTTGTGGTTAGGACTTGGCACGGGCTGTAGCGACAGCTGTTTGGAAATGATGGAAGCCCCTGAGAAGGGAGACGCAGAGAGGGACCAGGACAACAATCCAGAATTACTGTGAAATGCTGTTGTCTCTGTCCATTCTCCCAACACAGCTCCGCCTGACGCAGAATGAAAAGTAACAGACCACAACAAATCAACAAACGGAAAAAGATTAAGATACAAATGGGAGACTTTTGTTGGTACAGCACATCGGAACTGAAAGGAACATGTAGTAATTGGATTCCTTCAATCTTAAATTCTCCTCTGAGGCTTGTTTGGGGCCCTGTTTCATTTCATGCTTTCATCTCAGTCCAATGGGACTGATCATAGAGACATTAAGACAAAATGAATTTCAACCGTGCATGCAATTAATGCTCCCAACAAAAGGGAACATCAACAAATGTGCACGAACACAAATAAGCCAATTTATTGGTAATCAAGCCATTGTGTGCTAATAAAGCTTGACAGTGTAGAAGCAGTCATCAATGTGTTAATTACTCTGCGGCTCCTGTTTAATGTGAAACTGGTCACTTAACATGTGGCGTGCTTTAACCCAACAGACATCCAGATGGCAGCTTCACTATTCATATCTGCATTCACATTAGATTATTGCAGATCTATTTGAACACAAAGGACGCAGTCTGAAAAAACACATCACATGGATTCAAACAGGAATAACTGCTGCAAAACTCGTATGATTCCCCCCAATGTATCACCACAAAAGGAGGTCTCGGTTTACAGCTACTACATTATCCACTCGGGTATTCACATTACACTTTGAATAACTAAACAGAAGTATGATAGGTGGTGATAGCAGCACCAGGCTCTTTTACTAAACCTAACCAAGACCAAGTTATGTTCTGTAAAGCTCAAAGTTAACTTTTGAAAGTATGAAGCAGAAGTTCATTTGTATTGTTGAACATACGAAATAATTAGCAATAACATTGGATATCATACACACCGAGTCACAAGGATATGTTGCACTGCAAGGCATACACAAACTGTATTGACACAACCATACAAATAAATCAGGACGCAGTTCCAGCTCCAGGACAAAGTGTTTCCAGATATTCATCATCAAGTTCATCTGTCTGCACTCCCCCACAATACCAGCACCATCCTCACTGTCTGCCAGCTTATTTAGCCCCTCAGCTGTGTATTGTTTTGAGTAGCATAGGGTTCATTTTCAGTGAAATGTCAGACTGTGAGTGAGTCAACTGTGGCAGGTGCGTGGGATTGTCATATACTGTACATCTCCGGTTAACAGTGCAATAAGTTGAAGTGGAGCTCCTCAACATGGAAGGAAATGTGTTGGAAAAAAGGATTAATCAACACAAACAACACTTGGTTCCTCTCACCCATGGCTCAGCGGAAACACACGCATGCAACCACCCACGCTAACACATACACAAAATACAGGCTGTCTTTCCTTCAGAGCCAACAGGTTCAGTTTGTGAGGAATTTGACAGAAAGATGCTCACAGGCTCTTTCAGGCTGCCGCTGCAGGTGCAAGTTGAGCGGTGGGAAAACCTCCAACAAGAACAGGCCGTAAAAAAAATCCAGGTTCCTCACCACAAAAAGCATGTAGAAGGAGTAATAGATAATATGGTGATTGCAGTGCCGTGATGAGGCACGCTGCCTTCTATTCAAAGTGCTGTGCTTGGAGCATATTTCACTCTCACCCCTTAAACGCTGCCGGGTAATGACTAAAGAAAAGGCACATTCAGTCATCTTCCCCCCACACCCTCTCAGACTCACACACATGTGCCGATGGAGAACACATTCAACGTCTCGGAGGCTGGGATCTAAAGATGGGTGGGTTAATAAAGCATTCCTCATTTGCTGATGAAGTCTTGATGCAGAAGTGGGCAGTCTTGCTTTAAGACATGTGATCTCTCTCATCGCTCTCTCTCTCTCTTTCCAGCTGGGCTACATTGTAAAACACACACACACTCACACGCACGCTCACACACACACACTCTCTCGCTCTGCCTCTCTGACACAGACTCTCTACTTAGTGCGTTGGAGAGAGGACTGAGGCTCACACTATCAGCACAGCTTCTCAATGGGGGGACGCAGCCAAGAGCAGACAGAGCAGTCATTCCACTGGAGCCTTCCGCCGCACGCGTGAGAAGGAGCCGACAAGTGAAGGGGGGGTAAATTAGCTCCCTGTCATCACAACGTTGGACTTCTACTGACGGGGGATAGACACAGACTGAAGGAAGAAGAGGACAGGAGATGTTGCACGCATGTGGCTGATACAGCAGTGACATGATCAGCCTGCCATCAACTCAGATGCTGGTCAGTTTGTGACACTGGGTGCTTTTGGTGATTGTGTTGCCCAAGGATTTCCAAAAGGAGCTGAACTGAGAATATTGCGGAGGTAAAAAAAAGAGAAAAAAAACTGCGTTATAGCTCCTTTTTCTGCCGTGTTTTGGCTTATCTGCTACTGGAATTTGGTGCGGGAATCACTGGCTTCAAACTATGGATGGATTTAAGACTGAGAAGTGAGACTGCTTGGCAGGGAGGCAGTGATTTCGACTGAGCTCCTTTCCCCCTGAACACACTGCTCAGGTAAGGGTGTGAGACTTTCAAGGAATACCTCTGGTGTTTGGGGACAGCGAGGGTTTTAGGAATGAAGAAAAATGTGTCTGATTAAATAACGACTTCTATGCATAGTGAAATATAAAAAAGAGCTTCCACTAAAAACACTCCAAATATCACAAACCAATATTGCATTTGAGCAGTTATACAAGTAGGCTATTACATGTAAAACAAACATTCTAATGATACTCCAAAATGCTTAAAGACGTTTTATAAATGCAGTTAATCTAAGGAAATGCAAACAAGTTAAAAGCATCGATAAAATGGCAGCCTAAATAATACTGTGGCACCTCGATCTCCCTGCTGTATGAGGATCAGTCACATGTGTTTTTAGGGAATCGTCACGAAAGTTGTTTCTGCAGTAGAAACAAAAAAATCAAGACTCTTTTTGTTAGATCCATGTTTAACGCAGGTGTTTTGTGCGCCTGCAGGTGTGTCTGCTGCTTTCACTCCTCGACTGCATTTACTATCCAGGCTGCGAGACTTACCAATTACGCATAAAGAAGCTTTACTTTATGACTTTACGCAACATTCCAAAACTGAGAGTAAACTGCTTTTACTGTGATTTTTATCCGAGTGGAAAACAAGATGGATATTTGTTTGAAAGCTCTTTCAAACGCTGTTAACACGAGGCTGCAGCGGGGACAGGAAGAGTTCTGTTTTCCTGAAAGCTGCTTCCCTTACCCGAAGTTCCTTTAAAATGATGGCAATGTTTGTTCGTGTTTATTTCAAGTCTGCCGTGCGTCTTCACCTCTGGTAAAAACGCCTCTGGTAAGAACTGCATTTTATTTTCGGCACGAATGCCTCCGATCACCGGGAGGAGATCAGTCATATCATGCAATATGCAGATATCCATGCAAGCGCAACGATGTTTATGAATATGAAGCCGGATTGCTGAACAGAAAATAGTGTGGATACAAAAATAAATGGAAAACATACCCACGAGACCCGCTCACATTTCCACAAAACCGCGGATTATGTTGGATTTAGCGCAGGGGTGGGGATTTACAATGTGCTGTTCATAATTGTATGTTTAATTTTCTCTGATTATTAAGCAGTCTCAATGTCACTGAGGGCACTGAACACATGGACCAACATTTAGCCTAATGGCTTTAATCTCATATTCAGATTAACACACAAAGTGGTCTAGTTGGAGGCACACGGCAAGCAGTGGCTTTAATGCTTTGTGGAAACAACACAGTGGATCAGGCCTGACTTCATTCTGCAGACATTTGAAACATTTCTGCTCCGAATAATTTTATTTAAATGTGAAATATCCATGGTTTGAAGCTTATATTGAAGAGAGTCCCTGAGGCTCATGTGTCTGCTTAATATTCTCCTGTGTTTTGAGATATGGTAGAATCAAACATTAAAGGGGTGAACGATTGAAACTGTCACATAAGAACAGCAGAGTCACTGAAGTGTTTGAAAACTGACAAAAGTAAAAACATTTAGACAGTCCCTGTGATATCTGATATAGTGAGTGATTTGGGTGGAATAGAATCTTCTTAAAATCAGACAGAGGATTATAAATGTGTCCAATCAGTAGTCAGTAGGGAGCCTACACACACCAAGCAGGAGTTTAGTTTAAAGGAGGTGGGTTGATGCTTTTACATTTCCCACTGCGGGACCTGAATAGAGAGAAGCGCTGATAACACCTGGAAAGGAGGAGAGCCTCATTATTCAATGAGGGCTAAGGCGTGTCTCCATATGATGGCCCTCAGCAGCCATCAGGCAGGCGCTAAACAAATCTGAAAAAGGCAATTCGTGCTTAGAAATTCAATATTTTACAAACATTTGGAATAGCGCTGCTGCTGTTGTCAATTAAACTGTAAATTCCATAACAGATGATTACAGAAATAATGCCGTCTGTAAAAGATTATTTCCTTTTTTTGTACTTTAATTTCATATTTGTCCTTTTCAGGCTAAAACAGGTTTGAAGCAGACATTGTCAAGATTGAGTGTTTGAGTCTGCAGGGGTTTTATTGAAGCCTCTTTATCTTATTTCTCTTTTCATTCCCACCGTTATCGTAAGAAAATACCTGCACAAACCTTTTAAATACATCTAGTAGAGATACTGTAGTGGACAAAACATTTATTGGTTATATCCGACAATGCAGCAGAATACTAATGTTTCTTTTGTTTGACACATTAAAGCATGTGTCTGCTGTAAATATGTATGAAGACACGCTGTAATACAAATGTCTCCCTGTGGTTTCCCCCCCTGCTGTGCGCCTCCTGCAGACTCGGCTTTACCATGTCCTGGTTGTTGGCCATGTGGATTAGCCTGGGCTTCCTGCTATTGTGCCAGGCCACTCTCTACCAGACCATCCAGCAGCACCATGTGGCCCGGCCCGGCCGCACCGACATCCTCACCCTGGGTACGTGAACCTTTTTGTACAGATTTCGGCTTTACTGCGCAGTGTTTAACTGCGAGATGTTGCCTTTGATGGGGAGAGCAGTTCTCATCGTTGGCTGTTGAAAAAAAGCAACAACATGGCTGCTGCATTATGTCAGAATGATTTGCCACAGTATGGTACTCTAACATGATGATTCACCGTGCGCACAGTTTAGCAAAAGCGAATGCTAATTGTGCTTCAAATTGCCAGTTATGTGCTCTTGTTTAGTCATAATTTATTTATTTAACCATAAACATGTGGCTCTATTTACATATGTGTACTTTCACAGTGATACACTTTGGTTCTGTGGCTGAGTTGCACACTTCTGTTGAAATTTGAACATGGAAATCCTCTGAGACAAAGAGTGTATTTAAACATTGCGTTTGCAGCAATGAAATCTTGACTACACCCTGAAATTAGCTGGAAGACTTGTTACGAGTAGGACGAGCTGTAGGCAAAACATTCTTATACTGTGCTGGTAGCCAAGGGAGCTTTGATCACTGTGGCTTAGAAGGAAATGACAATTATGTTTCCCCCTTTTTGCACTTTGAACGTTTGGCAATTAAGCCTGACGCCTCCTGCACCGTAGGGGCAAAAGTGGAGGGTAGACGGCGAGGCGGATCTAATTCTTTGATTATGGAAAAGCTTACCAGCTGTTTGTATGTGGGGTTGTTATAGGGAACTAAGGTTTTCTTGAGCAAAGCAAAGGCTTTCTTTAAGCTTCTAACAATGAGTGTGACTCCATGCCGAACACAGAGTGGCTCTCTCTCCAGAAGCCAAGCTAGCTGTTAAACATTGATGCTATCTTCAGCTTGGTTCCCCTTTGTGTGTGTCGCATTGCCGAGCAAAAAGACAAGTAATTGAAGCACAGCAAGAGGGGGGGGGGGAAGAAAAAGTCCAGCAACGAATTCCCCAATCTTGTGTTGAACATTGGTGACTTTAAGGCAGCATCTCTCAGAATTGACGTACTTTTGCTTTGTTGAGCTGACACAGGAAAATCCAAGCTATGATGGGGGGGGGGAAAGTTCTCAAAGTATCCGGTTCCGTTAATTGGTACAAGAGGTTGAGGGATGAGCGGCAGAGAGCTCCAATGAATTTTTAAAGGCTGGCTTGCAGTTTTTGTGTGTTTTTTTTCTCTTTCTGACTGGTTGGCAAGTGGAGCTTGGTGCCAAAGATGTACAAGGAAGTGCAAGGCTCAGTAAGTGTCTCTTGAATAATGCAGAAGTCCCAAAGGGAAAGAAAGGAACAAATAAAAGCCCCCTCCCTCCAATCACTACCCGGGGTGTAGCTCTAGAAGAGGCAAAGGGTAGTTATTGCTCAGAGTTCTTTGGAAGGTTTCCTGTCAGACAGATCACATTTTCTGCATTACATACAACACTGAGGCGGGTATGGACATGCACATGCTCACACATTTACACACCATTTTCTCACCGACGCCTTTATGGTGTGGCGTTTTCATCCACCCCATCTTGGAGTTGTGCTCAGGACACGTCAAGTCTAAGAGCATTCAAGTCTCCACTCTACAGATGGATGATAAACACACTCTGTTGATTTCGTCTTTTTAAGTCTCAGATTTCATTCATGGTGTTAGATTTGATTGAGGCTGAGCCAGTCGATTTTAAATGACGTCACCAAGAATTATTCAAACGAAAGAGGATTTACAGACTAGATGCAATCAACCTTGGATCGATTGTCTGTTAAAATGTTATTTGACACAATTACTCTCTAGAACACTTCTGAATCTGTGATGAATGACAGCCTTAATTGGAGCTGACAAAATTATATAACGTGAGGATGTGTCGTGATATTTTAACATCCTAATCTGCAGGCTTCCTGGGGATATTTGTCTATCACAACCGGGCACTCAAAGAGAACACAGTCCTTCTCTGCTGCTCGGCAAACTGTACAATTTAAAGTATATCATGTTTTTTTTTTAAGAGGATTAAGCTGACATCAATCTTACTCAGCCGTGGAGTGGCGTTAACCGATCTAACCAGAACTGCTCTCTCAGAATTGAAATGCTATGATGAATATTTGAATTAGAATTGATTTTATAATTTGAGAAGCTCTCTGGTTTCATTGAGGCCAAAACCCTCAGATATAAATAGATATGGCTATGTAGGACGTAGCAAAAAAAGGAAAAAATATGTCTTGCCTTGTGCAATCCATTGGCTTTCATGCTTTGCCGTTTCCCCGTAATCAAATTATTCTCGTGTTTCTAAAAGACGATGAAAATATGTATGATATACTCTCTACCATACAGAAATTAAGTTGTACAATTGTTTTCGCTAATGAAGCGTGAGAATTACACGATTTAAAGATGTCTGTGCTGATAAACAGATTAATGGACTCACACTTGACTTTCCATCTGCTAAGATTATTGATCTTTTTATTGCTTGCTGATAAAATAGGTGAAGCTGCTTTTTTAAATTTGATGTATTGTCTTCAGGACACAATATACAAGGTATGAAGTGAACTTGGGAGATGGTATTTAGTTAGACAACATCCTGAAATAAGTTTATTTGGATCTTGGCATGCAGCCTGGACTACTGTCTGAGAGATGTGGTACAAAAACTCACAAAGCATCCAACATAGGCTACACAGACAAGGGGCTGTGCGGGTATCTGAAGAGGAAGTGAAGGTCATGTGGAGCTCAGTATAGATGTCATCCCACGGCCTGTTGGAGCATCTGACAATATTTGAGAAATCGGCGCATCCGCCTTCTTCAACAGTGAGCTGACGGTGCATACTTAAAAAAAACGAGAATGTGACTGCTGAGATAAAGTTTCCGTATCCCATTTATTTATTTTTTTCAAATGTTTCCGCTGAGGCGGAGATTGAATAACGAGTTTCCTGACTGCTTCGTCACCTGCTCGGAAAGCGGCGCCGCTCCCTTTCCCATGAGCCTCCGCTTCTCACAGTTTCCCCCTGCGTCTTTCTGCTGTGGCGGAAGATTGATGGCGGCCTGATTCTGGGCAGCCAATTCTGGTCTCTCAAGAAATAATCCAGTACGTTGACAGATGAGCTGAATGTGACATGACACACACAAGCCCGGTTCGGCACTCTCCTCACCTGCCAACACAACGAGCAAAGGTACTCACTGCCAACACAACTGCTGCACAAACCAGGGCACTGTTGACAGTATGAGACTCCAACACAAGCCAGTGACGTGTTACCGATATACATTGACTGAAGTGTTTCTCCACGTGTTTCTGTATGTGTTCTTGTATGTTTTCTTTTAATGCTATCAACCTGTCAATATGGACAAATCTGGTCAAAGTCAAGTGCTTATTTGGATTAATGTGCAGTCCCTTCTTAAATACAAAAAGTGCATTAATGAAGTGTTAACATTTAAGTTGTCAGTTTTCTTTGAGGCAACGCTTAGCAGGTACTGTATTTGTATACCTTTGCTCAGCCGTAGTTTCCTTATAGCAGCCATGTTCATAATATATCAATACCCAGCGGGGCCATATCTGAATATAACAACACTTTAGCTGCTGCTTTGTTTTATTATGACTCTGACAGGGCAGTTTAAGAGAGTCTCAGATCTAATAGAACAACAGGATCCTGTTGCAGGTGCAGCTGTAAAACTAACTACTCTGCCTGTTACACTTTGATAGCAGCTTGTTGCCGACGTTTAGTTTGACCCTTTTTTATGGCAGCCATGCAGTGTATATCGGAGCGATCACATCTTATTAAACCCTTTATTCTGAAAATGATATGCTGATCGTATTTAAACGGTGAAATAAACTCTGAGTGGTAACCATAGGGATGCTGGTTTTAGATGTACATGAAAAATATGACCCTTTACACAAAATGGGTGATGGTAAATGGCTGATAGCTAATGCAGTGCTGCTGCTTCAGTGTTTTCATCCACTTATTTTGAAACGGCAGTATTATCGCAGATGATTGGAAGGCATTTTAATGAGCTCATTGTTCAATGTGCCATAATGCTTCCTTCTCCTTTGTGTAAAAAATAAACCTTTGATGTGAACGAAAACATGTAATTACTTTGATGAGGAGAGATGCATCATAAGAACAAACAAGCTAATCAGAGAGGAAGTGTTTGGTACATTAGGAAAATTATCTTTGGCTTTAAGAACACAAACTGTCAAAAATACTATAGAGCTCAGCTTTATTGCTATTGAAGTTCTTTACTTTACATCTAAGTGTCTGGGTTTTCTAGAGAGGAAAACATCTGACAAGATACAGGCTGTTGAAGTATACCTTGAACTTAATTTAGGATAGCTCTCTTGTAAATGAGGACGGGGTAGAATCTGGAAGCCATGAATTGATTATTTTTCGTTCCATGGCCGAACGGATGGCTGCTTCAAAAGATTGATGGTTTTCCTGCCAGTGTTTGGGAATGTGAAGAAATTAGCTGGCTCAAAAACTGAATGCACACCGTATTCAACTCAGAACTCATTTCCATAGTTCTCAGACTCCTCATTACGACAGTGTTAGCAACAGAAATTCAAGTGAGCTGCATATTTTTTAGGCAGTCGCCTTCAAAGTGGTTATCTTACTGCTTCGCTTCTTTTATGGAGGTGTAAGTGCTTTTATGAACGGCAAATCCATCCATACTACCCTCGGGAAAGGCTTTCTTTTACAAGCTCTCTGTGTTTTTTGTTTTGCCATTAAATCAGCTTTATTTACATCCCCATTAAACTCTGGAAACTAATTAGTGAGAATTAATGGTGAAAGAAAATTCAATTATATTTCAATGGATGACGCTTTAATGATATTTATTATTACAAATACAAGTCATTACTGTCCAAGATTGAAGAATAGCCTTTTAATTGTTTGAATCTCTGCTATTGAGTGTGGCTAAATATTGACTTGTGTGTGTAAAACAGAAATGTTATACCACACATTTAAATTAGAATTTTTTTAATTTTTTTAACATGGCATCTGCAAATCCGGCATTTTGCCGACAAGGGGTGCAAATCCTATAATCTACCTCCACATGGGATTATAATTGC